TGGGAGAGAAACAGGAAGATCAACACAGGGTTTTGATGTGTCAGGTCTCTGTGTTGTAAGAACCATAACGTTTGCATGCTGGCCCACAACTCCACTTTATTATGGGTCATAAAACTCTATTCCGTGAACAATGTCCTATGGAAGCAAAGATATCATTGCAATATGATTACATGTTGTCCAAAGCCCAATCCAAAGCAGGATGCTATGTGACACCACCAAGCAGGTGAGTGGCCGTGGCTGTGGCTGGCCTGTTAAACACTGGCATGAGAGGGCTGCAGCCCCATCCCTGTCCTCCTGAGCACGCAGGGCAGCGCCAGGCAGTGGAGATGCCAACGGCCTGCCACCACCTCTGCAGGGACGTCATGGGTCCATGCCAGACATCTTTGGAAACTCCCTAAGGCAGGGCAGGAATGTGTTTTCTGGGCAGGCTGCTCCACGCTCAACTCATGGACTGAGAGCCGTTCCTCCTTGAAAGTTTCTGTCCGTCTTCTTCTCTGTAACTTATGTTCCCTTTTAGATGAAACTTGTGGAAAATTGTGGTTTCAGCTCTCGGTGTGTTTGCAGGTGCCTTGCTAAGCTCCTTATAGCAAGGGTAGGATGTAGGTTAGCATTGCCAACTCTTGAATGCCCATCTGAGCAAAATGTTACGGTGCAGCTCAGAAATGCACAGTCCTGCTGCCACTGAAAAGCCTATGCTGCCAAGGTTGTCCTCAGGGTCTACCTTGCCCCTTTCCTGGTGGCCACACCCTGATGAGCACAGCTGTGGCTTGGCAGAGCAGACCGTAGCTGGAAGCTTAAAGCCAGCTGGAGTCAAGCTGGCAGTGTGGAGTAGCTCCCTGGGAAAGGAGTTGTTAAACACTACATGGTGGGGGGATGTAATGTTTCATCCTGCTTCTTGATGTTAGAGCAAAGGACATCCAGCAGAGATGGAAGATGCTGGGGCAGGAAGATGGGGAGTGCTAGCAGAGAGCCGGCTTTTCCGAGTCCTGCTATGAACTGCTGTTGATGCTGCAACGCCAGGGTTGGAGGGGTGAGTAAAGCTGAGGTGGTTATGCAGCAGAGCCTGCAAGTTTCTGCTATCTGCTTCAGGAACTGAGGCTGGGGACTGCTGCTGAAAGGCTGTATCAGGATGGCCACACATTTGCATCCTGCCTTCCAAACCCTTCCACTGCTCATTAAGCTAGGACCAGTGTTGTCCTTCAGCTGCCTCTGAGAGCCACAGTCAGAGAGGCCACTGGCCCCCAGAGCTCACGCTTCTGCACCAGGTGAAGACAACTATTCCCACTTGTCCTGGCCCACTGCCCCAGGACACACACAGTAATTTTTTTTTAACTCATAAAATAAATCTAAAAATACCATTTCTTTCCCAAACTTTTCTTTATCAGAAACATTTTTTTCTGCTCTGATGCAATTGAGCGAGGATATGAATTAAGCCTATCTTTTCTTAAATGTCTCATCTGCTGTCCCATTTGCTGCCCCTTCCAGCCTAGGAGTATTATCTAGATATTCTAGTTATTCATTGAGTTATTCTACATTCCTTCTGGGGGGAATACATGCCAAGTGACAATAGGGATGGCTATTAATTGTAATCAAGGATTTAGAATTGATATTTTGTTGGACTTTGGTTGCCATTTTCTGTTACTTTAAAGTAAAATTTAAGCAGATCAAATTTTGGAACTGAAGTGCTCAACTGCATCCTTTTAAGAACGTAGGGTCTTCAGGAGCTGATAGAAGTCCCAAAGCGATCTGCGGGACACTCCTCCTGGTCCCTGGCTGCACTTTAAGTGATGCACTGATCCCACCTTCGACATGAAGTCCACATTTGCATTGCCACAATCCAGATTTTGGCAGCAAATCAAGCAGTGACTCAGTTACCCAGTAATTTCAAACACATAAACATCTGTTCCAGAGTAGAATAATTAATGACTTTCTGGTTCATCCACCGAGCAGAAAAGCTTGGGCTTGTAGCTCCAAATGTAGACTTTGTAAACGACTTCCCATCAGAAGTGTTTAGCTTCTTTTAATTGCTGTGTGACTGACAAGTGTTTTAGCTAGCACAGAACGCAGATAAGCGGTACCAGAAAAACTGAGTAAACACAGACAAGAGCACGGAAAGCCACCAAATGTTGTTGCTGGCATATGTTCTTCAGGAAGCTCAAGGCAGAGCTCTAAACAGCTTCCAAACATGATTATTGAGCATGAAGGAAAGTTATAGTTTGAACAGCATATTAATTATATAGGGTTTAAACATTGGTGTGATTACAGCAGAGCATGAAGCCTTCATTCAAAAACTTTACTACATTTTTTTTCTCAGGCAAATTGTCCAATGAATTCTTGACCTATTGAAAGACTCTCTACCTCCACTGGGTTCACAAACAGTCAGCAGCCCTCCGCCATGCAGGCTGACTGGCTAAATATCAGCAGACAAGGATGTCCAGTTGATGGGTGAAGTATTCTGGGATTTCCTAACCTCCAAGACCCCATGGAATCCATAGGGAAGCTGTTGTCCTGCACCTACCTGCCTAGGAGCTAACTATATGAATGGAAAATGCCTTACCTCAGTGCTCCAAAATGTTCCCAAACTTCATCTTACAGTAAAGCTAAGTGGAGCAGGAAGGAGGATATGTTTGCTCAGCTGATCCCAGAAACACCTAAAGATGTCAGTCCAGTCAGGCCTGTGATCTCAGCTCCGTATCTCACTACTTTCTATGTATTAAGCAAGGGTGTAAAACTTACTCAAGGGAGTTCGGGGGAAAAAGCAAGAAAATTGTTTCTTTTGGATGAAACTTTAAAGCAAGGTCTACCAGTCCAACTCCTGTGACCTGATCCCATAGCGTTTGCAGAGGCCACATCACAGCCTCTAAATCTTGTTTACCTAGCCAGAATCACATGTGTGCAGAATGTCTTCCCACTTCAGTAACCCTTTGCTACTTGAGAGCACTCTTCTGTGAGAGGGAGAAATCTGGAGGACCCAACCCAAAATCAAGTCACCAATATGGAGATGAGCCCAAATGGCATTAGTAGGAATGCAACATTTTACCTTTTCCTGGTTCTCTGGTGCAAAGTCATGCAATATGGTCAAGTTGCTGGAGTATAACCTTTTAATGGAGGTTTACAGCAACGGTGTGGAAAGCCAGAGAAATCCTGCAGGCTCAGTGGGTTGCAGGTCCCGATATGAGAACGCAGAGTGTGCCAGCTGGCTTCTACAGTGACGGGAAGGACACTCAGGGAGGCCTTCCTTAAAGCCCTGTAGCGACACATATACCATCCATTTGGATTTTCATCTGCTGCACCTTTTCTTGGTACTTCTGCTATCTTGCTTATTTTGGAATACTCAAGATACTGCTTCCTGTTTGCATTCTGATTCCCCTGTCGCCTCATGGGAAATGCAAAGAGGCTGGGGTCTGCCCAAGTGTAGCCGAGGGCAGAACTTGGCACGTGGAGTCATTTCACATGCTGTTGATTTCAATCTGCTCAAAGCCCCAGGGAGAGGAGAATCAGTCCATACTGCACAGTTCATGACCTCAGAAGTAGACAGAGACTAAGTTCAAATGAAGGGGGAAAAAAAACACTGGAGAAGTCAGAACTGAGCAAGAACCAAGGGATTTGGCATGAGAAATTATCTCAGTGGAAAACTAAGTAAAAGGGAAAAGCTGGCTTGATTTGTTCAAAAGTAACATTATCCAGGGAGATGAGAAAGAAAACTACTGACAGGAAAATCTCTCTTTTGTGTGATTGTGCTGGAGTGAAGGCCTCCTGGAAAACGACTGCGAAGCTCTGTGAAGAAGTCATGCTTTTAGAATCCTGGAATATAAATTTGTGCCATGCAATTGCACAAGTCCTCCCTTACAGCGTCCCACTCGGGGCTCTGTATCGTAATGTATTGCTAGGCTTTATAGCCCAGAGATTTAATGCATGTGGTTAAGTGTCCAATGTCCATACATCATTTTAGTAGTTAGTGGGAGGTGCGTCCCCAAGAGTTGGACAAAGATTGCTGCCAAAGGGTGTGAGGCGAAATATTTTGGCCCATTAACAAAGCTCACGTTAAGAAATACAAACTTGGTGTAAAGATGCTGACAGCCTGGAGGAACATTGGAGAAGAAAACTGAAAAATACTGAAATAGGAGGAGAGTTCTAGGAAAAAACAGCAAAAGCGTGACATCTAGGAGACACTGCTTTCTGCAGCTATTCGAGGGTGAGAACAAAGAATGGGACTTAGAGTTGCCCAGGAAAGGTGCAAGAACAACAAACTGCGTGGGGTAAAGAACAGTGAAAGTCAGAGCCTGTAAAAGAGAAGACAGGTGCCGCTTGACTCCTGCTGGGTTTTCTGAGGGAAGAAAGCTCGATTGTTTGTGGTTTCAAAAGACCCTGTTGGAAGCACTAGTGAATGCAAGGCAGATTGTGTTTCTGCACCAGGTGGAACCTAACAAAGTAGGTTCCTCCCTCACGTTTCCGATTCCACATCTCCAGCCAGATATGGCTTCAGACTGAAGTCCTGGCACTGCATCTTCAAGTCTTTGCAAAACTTTCCTATCCAGAACTCCTAGTTTTGCCTGCAACCAAACCAAAATCCTATTCCAGACCTCTGTGCTATGAGGTGTCTGAAGTTAAGTTTTTCAGCTGGGGGTCTATTGTTTCGTGTCACGTTGTTATAACTTTCAGGAAACTGTTGTTCTTTGGCTCGTATATACAACTTCATACAGGGACCTGATATAGCTGCTCCTGAAGAGTCTGCAGAAGAAACTATTTGCCATCATTTTTGCAAATTATGACTTTTTTGCCTTTGCCTGATTTCACTGGCTGTTGCTCGCTCATACGGCTTCAGTTGGATCTGAGGCTCAGAAGTTTGGAATCCTTCCTATACCTAGGAGGACAGCCTTCACCAAAGCCTATAGTCAGCCGAGCTAAAGCATGGAGTATTTTTAACAGTTCTTGAAACACGTTTTAATTTTAGAGCTTTGATTCTTTTTTTCCTGGCTGCAGGTTTGAAGGTTTTGCAACCAATACCATCTGTCACCTCGGGATCCATGCCCAAGTCCGAGCATTATGGCTGAAAAGAGGACTTGTCTTATGATACTAAGCTCCCATCTAGACTTTCAAGACCCAAGTCAATGCTTTAAACTTTAGTAGAGAGTCTAAGATTGCACACACAAAAACCGTTTTCCCAGCAGCTTATTTCCATCTTTGAAAAAATGAATTATTTTGCTTCTCTTTGATTTCCTCTTCCCCCACCAGCCTCACCTTATCTGGCTTTTAGCTTCAAAGTATCCTTAGATCTTAAATAAATTTGATTTAGAACCAAAGATATTTCATGTCATTTTCTTTTGAAAGCTGTTCTCTGCTTCGTTGTGCAACTGCCACAGAAACCAGCCAAGTCACAGCTGGGGGGAAGAAGGTGATGAAAGGGAAGGCTGCTTTTCTGGGATCCCATTTCCTTAAAATTCCTTAAAATTGGAGGAAATGTGCCTTAGTACAATGGCAATCAGTAATAGCGTGGACTCCCTTGGAAAGAGACGGGAGTACCAGTATCTCAGCCAGGCTTTTTTTCCTATCACTAGCAACCTGTAAAGCAGGGGACTATAGCCTGCTCTTTGACCACATGGCATGCACAGAATAAGTGTCAAAATAATGTCATTTGATGGTTATTTCTCTTTTTGAGCTCATCTTGACTGTAACAGGCATGATAGCTCACAAGGCTGCTGCAATCCTGTGTATTTTCTTCTTCCTCCTTGCGCGGCTGTTTCTTGCAAGTTTGGTACAGCAGGGTCAAAGTAATACATTTTACCTACATTTGCTGTGTATCAGTTTTGATAGGAATATTTATTGGGTTGTTTAAAATTTATTAATAGGAATTTTGATAAGTTTATTGATTTTTTGAGGTATTAATATGAATGTTCCAAAAAGGGAGGGAATATATATATATCATTTAATCCCACACACTTATGTCATGAGGTTGAGGAGAGGGTGGGACAGTAGGTCTTGTGTTCTGAGTAAAGATTTGCTTTGCAGTAGTAGGGGAGGGGTTAAATTTGTATCAATATTTTGGACCAATAACAAACATTGAAAATAATGTGGAAAGGAGACTCCCAGGAAACCTTTATTAACAATACAGATGGTCCAAGAACTTAACATAGAGATCAAAGCTGTGGGGGGAGTTTGCTCTCTAATTGGGACCACCCTGCTTCCCTGCAATTAACCCATCTGGGAAATGCTGACAACACTCTTCCCTCTTCTTAGGGATTTTTGCAGCCTTTGAGCCTATCCCCCGTGCAGTGAAACAGAGGATGCAGAGATGATTAAATTATAAACTCAATTGATACTAGCTTAGTGACTAGGAAGATAAAAATTAAAATAAAGATGCTAATTGATCAAACTGGACTTCTTAGTCCCCTGCACAGAAGAGCAGTTCAGAGAAGCTGCCAGTGCAGGCCCACGTCGCAGAGGTGCGCGAAGCAGGCGGTGGCGCACACCGCAGCTCGGTGATAAACCCCTGTCCGGGCTCGTCCCTTGTGGGGCAGGTGCTTGAGTAGTGGGCAGCTGATTCCATTGCCTATTTAAAGGCATCTGCCTGTTGTGGAGTGATGACATAAGATGCTGACCAAAACAGGTCATGTAGGAAGTAAAGCTTTCAGCTGTGCCCTGCACCATGTGCACTGTTAAATAGTTTTGGGAACATGGTCAGCCCTGTTTGCAGGCCTTCTGCAGAGCTGCTGCTGCCTGGCCCCGGGACAAGCTGTTTCATCTTGCTGTTCCCCCCACCCCATCGTTACTAGCGTCGTTCCGGTTCGTGGGTTTTACGACCGGTCAGTAAACCCGTCAATTAGCAGCCCGTGTAGCTGGGGGGGGGCCGGGGAGCACCTGGGCCGGCAG